TTATTATGTATATACTGAATCGAGAGAACTATTGAATTCAAATTTTTTGCTTTTGATAAAAATAACTTTTTGATTCAAATTCTTCGATGAAACTGGGTACAACTAAAACAAAACGAGGAAGGATTTCGATTTCCGCTTGCGGAAGAATATTTTGCTCGAGATCGAATGAAATGCTATTAAGCCAGGCTTTCAGTTGCCTCTTAAAAAATTTAACACATTATTATTACTATCAATAGGTAGTGATATACAGTGTTTTAAACTGAACTGTATTCGAGACTAATTTTTTCGACTAATAGAAAATTTTCCGTCGAATAGAATTCACTGAATTTTTTGGTGGTACACAAAGCTATATATAGCACAACGATTCTGGTATGGTAATTAATATGCAGCACATCGTTAAGTTGTAAAATACATATGTTCAATACGGGGTATATGAACAAGTATCACATAATTATGATTAAAAGTGATAATCAAAAGTTGAAGAATAAAATCTTGAAAATAAGACTGAAATAAAAACGAAAACATAGAATATATCTGTGTGGGTAGACGCATTTTAAACGAAATAAATTTTTGGCAAAGATATTAAAATAGTTGGGCAAAATAAATGGAAACCATTCTGCAGTCATGGACATAAACCATTTAAAACGAANGAGAAGAAAACAGTCAGCAACGAAATTCCTAGTGCTGAATAAACATGATAATAGCACTATGAGATATCGATGATAAATGCTTGCTTGTAGTACGGAGCTTACAATTAATAAAATAACTGAAAATATGCACAATTAGTAAGTACAAAAACAGCCGTTATAATCGTTGTTATTATTTGTTATTACCATTAATACTGTTGCTGATAGAAGGTTTTTGAATAGTGCTGTTCGGAGATGTTTTTCGTTGAATGTCGTTTACGTTACGAGATGATGTCTGATGAGTTTGACCATTCGTAGCATCTAACGATAGTGACTGTTGTGGAAGGGTATACGTATGTTCAAAATCCCTAGCCGAATCGCCCGTATCACCAACTGACAAATAACCGCTTGCGAAGCCATCGCGCATTTCAGCTAACTTTTTATCAACCTTTAATTTCTTAATATTATTTAATTATTTTATTATTTCTTAAATTTCCTTTTTTTAAATTTTTTCTTAAATTTCTTAGTATTATGATCAGTACTGTTATTAATATTATTATGAGTTGTGTTAATGTTTTTATCAAGCTGACTATTATTATTTATTGCTACTTCATAAGATCTTACAAAGCAATGTACAAATGATGTAA